CAGCGCTCCAGGCGCGCCTCGTCGATGCCCCAGTAGGCCAGCTCGTCGCGGAAGGCCAGCGCGCACGGGCCGCGCAGCAGCCGCAGCTTGCCGGCGCGCAGCAGCGCCACGATGGCGCGGAAGGCGCACGGGCTGCGGTCGAAGAAGAACTCGTCGCGGCCCGCGTCGTAGTCGTCGCACACGCGCAGCAGCTCGTCGTGGCCGCGGCAGGCCCGCAGGCGCTCGAGGCGCGCGAGGGGGCAGCGCGCCAGCGCGGCCCAGGCCAGGCGCACCCGGCAGCCGCCCACGTTGATGATGACGTGCCGGGCGGGCTCGGCGGGCCCCGGGAGCAGGGCCATGGCCCCATCCGCGGGTCGGGCGGGGTCCGGAGGCTGGGCCTGCGGGGGGAACGGAGCGTTAGGCTGCGCGCCGGGAGTTCGGAGACGCCGGGGCCGCACTCGCGCTGAGCCCGGAGCTGGGGACGCGGCGGAGCCGAGGACCCCCCAGCTCGCCCACTCGGCGCCTCGCAGAGCTGCTGCTACGCGTGGCCCACACAGCGAACGCAGGTGCCCGGCGGACCCCGGTGACGTTGCGGCCGCCTCGATCCGTCTCCCAGAGACCGGGAACCCGCCCAAGGAAGCCTGCCCCGGGGAGGCTGCCCCGGGGAGCTGGGCCAGGGCCAGACGTCAGCTTGTTACCTGGTCATCCTCAAAGAAACATCAGGAGGGAAACAGGGTTGTTACAAATCTGAAGGCGGCGTTATCACCCCAACTTGGGGCTGTCTGAATAAAATGCTAGCAAATGACCACCATGCAGTCATCCATCACAGGGGCTTATCACAGGAATGCAAGGGTGGTTCACCATACAAGCGTAAAGGTAACATACATATTTATAGAAGGAAGAAAAAAACCCGTCATCATCTCATAGATGCAGAAAAAGCATCAGACAAAACCTAACATCCTTCTATTATAAAAAAAAACTCTCAATAACTAGGACTACAAGGGAACTTCTTCCACACGACCAAGGCCATATATGGAAAGCCCATAGCTGACCTCATACCCAAGGATAAGACTGGATCTTTCCCCCTGAGATCAGGAGCGAGACAAGGAACAAGGTTGCCTGCCGTCGTCATTTCTATTTCTTGTAAAAGAGCAAAGTTGGAGAGCTGTGACTTACTACGAAGCTACAGTAATCAGAGGAGTATCACAGTGGTGTACAGAGAGACATACAGACTGATGGGACAGAATTGAGAGCCCGGAAATAAATCCATACATATGTGGTCAATTGATTTTCTACAAGGGGGCCAAGACCATTCAACGGGGGAAGGGCAGTCTCTTCAACAAATGGTGCCAGGAGAACTGGACATCACATGCAGGAGAGTGACGCTGGACCCCTACCTCATGTCATGTACAAAAAGTAACTCAAAATGGACAAAAACGTAAAAACACACTGAAGACGAACATGTAAATCTTCATGACCTTAGATTGGGCAATGGTTTCTGAAGTATGATGCCAAAAACATAAGCAACAAAAGAAAAAACTTATCAAAGTTCTTTTGTACATTAAATGACAGTATCAAGAAAATGAAATTTCAACTCACAAGATAGGAAAAAAGATTTGCAAATCCTATATCTGATAAGTGTCTAGGATTCATAATATATAAAGAACACTTACAACTCAACAAGAAGAAGACAAACCCAATTAAAAAGTGGGCAAACACTTGAATAGACAATCTCCAAAATTATATATATGAGTAAATGACCAACAAGCCCATGAAAAGATGCTCAACATAACTAGTCATCAAGGAAATGCAAATCAAAACTATGAGATACCACTTTGCACCCATTAGCATTATGGTTGTAATCAAACAAATGGGAGAAAAGGTGCTGGAGACAATGTGGAGAAGTTGGAGCCCCACACACTGCTGGTGGGAACGTAAAATGGAGCCGCTGCTGTGGGAGACAGTTGGTGGGTCCTCAAATAGTTAAATGTGGTCACCACATGACCTGCGATTCCACTCCTAGCTGTTGATCCAAGAGGAACGAAAACCATGTTGCTGCAAACACAGGTACATAAGCGCTCACAGCAGCGTTACTCGTAACAGTGGAAAGGCAGAGATGCCCAGCTGCCCAGCGACGGACGATGGATAAACACGCGGTGTGTGCACACACTGGGGCGACATTCAGGCGAGGAAGTGCTGACACAGGCTACAGTGTGGATGAACCGTGGAACCATGTAGGTGAGAGAAGCCAGACAGAAAGGGTTCCATGTTGTATGGAATGTCCGCAGTGGGCACATTTGTAGGGACAGAGGTAGGTGAGTGGTTGCCAGGGGCTGGAGACAGGGGCGATCGGAGTGCCTGCTAATGGGTGCGGGGTTTCTTTAGGGTGCTGAAATGCTCTGGGATTAGGTAGTGGTGATGGCTGCACAACACTGTGAATATACTGAAAAACACTAAATTGTACACTTTAAAATGGTTTAAATGGTAAATCCAAAGTTATCCGAATTTTATGTCAGTTTTAAAGAAAATTAAAACCTTCTGAGTGAGTAGGTCTGGGGTGAGACCCGGTGCTACGCGTGTCGTGAGCTTGTCTGGTGCACGAAGTCTGAGGACGGCCTGGTTATTGTTAACGATCTTGTGCTGTCACCGCAACCAAGCGAAGCTGAGACCTGCCACCAAGGTGACTCAGGAGCGATGAGACACAGGTCTCGTGTGGCTGTGTTTGGCATGCAGCCCAAAGATGCCACCTGACCCAGGAGTGGGGCTCACCTGGGGTTGGGGTTAGGGGAGAAAGCCCGAACCAAATGTAATTAGCACAGACTTGCCACAGACAAGCAGGAACACACCACTTGCCAATAAAGCGTTTGAGAATTTCTTCTGAATATGAGAAAAATTGCCTTAGGAGGTGTAGCTGCAATGAAGGGGGTGGAAAGTTTTCAGTGACCCATGTGACAGTGTGTGCTTTGGCCTCTGAAGCCAAGTTCATTGCATGTTACTGGGAAGAAAGTGACCCACACTGAACTGTGTGTGTGTCTCTATGCCCCACAGTCATTCAGCACTCAGTAAACATTTCATCAGTATCTGCTGTGCCGATGCCTGGTGCTCAGGACGTGGCTTCTCGAAGCTTACAGTTTGGGGGCACAGGCTACCCAGCACCTCCCACGCCACAAGGTCAGTTCTACAACAGGGACAAGAAGACGGTGCTCTGGAGGGGCCCCCAGGGTTAGGGCTCCTCAGGGACGTCTGGCCGGGTGAAAGGTTGGGGGGCATTTGGAAGAAGCAGTGCCCAAGGAGGGAGGTTTTATTTTACTTCAAAGCAGTCGTTTAGGTCACCGACACTGGTTGCAGACATTCCCTAAGCTGCTTCCTCACATCGAGGACTCAGGTGGGGGCTCCAGGCTCTAAGAGCTCCCGCTCATCGGACCCCTGGACTCATAAGACGGAACTTCCCTAACGAGGCGGTGAGAGGGCGTGCAGAGATTGGCAGCAGCGCTTTGCCAAGGAAGGTTGGCATGGCCTGCGTGTGGCGCTTATGGGGACACCCAACAGGGCAGGGCAGGGCAGGACAGGCTCACACAGCAGCCCCTGGGCCGAGGCTGAGGTGTGGCTCTGCCGGCTGAAAGGTGCCTACACCCCCTTTCATGTGGCTGCTGAAGTCAGTGTCAAGTGTGGCCGTAAGGGACAGGGACAGCCTGACTTATGTGACACACATCACGCTGGAGAGCCTGATGGTCCTCACGCGGCTTTGACCCCTCCACGTTTTCTGTCCCCTTGGACCACGTACCACATGGTAGTGCAGGCTGGTTGACGCCTTTTGTAGCCAAATCAAATGTGTGTTCCCCGTTGTCTGTAGGCAGGAATCATCATTAAAATAGTCCTTCAAAACTGGATAATGAGCTGAATATGGAAGTTCTGCTGTACAGCTTTTCTCTCCCAGAATATATATTTACAATTAGACACATAAATTATACATTGAAAAGTGTTTTTAAGTCAACTTCTTGTTTACCTGAGAGACTACAGTTACTTTCCAAGCGCTTCCCGCGTGGAACATAACAGACATTGAAGTGTGGTTGATTTTAAGAAAGAGACTGACAGCTCAGTAGAAAAAATAGGCAAATTGTCACACTACAGTAAAGGAAAAAAAATAGCATTTTAATGTGAAAAGGAGCTTATCTTCATTCATAACAGCAAAAGTAAACATCTCAAGTGACCACAGGTATTATAACGGAATAGATGAGAGTTTGATGACACACACTGTCATCAAGGGTGTGGGGGCGCTCAGACTCACTCATTTCTGATGGACGGCAAACTACAACCCTGTGGCAGGAGGTGGAGATTCTGAGCTAATCCCACAGGAAGCAGGGACCTTGAAGGGCTGCACACGCAGCAAAAGGGCACCGGGGAGAACCACCCACCTGCTGGGATGGGAACGTTCTCAGATGTCTCTGTCTGCTTGTAGGTGAGAAACGGGAGTGTGTTTAAAAGCCGACCTGCACGACGGGTTTGAGGTTGGAATTCTGGTCTGTGAAACTGAAAGCTAAGAAATTCTCCCCATAAAAAGTAGTCTTAAGGGGGTGACATCTCGGAGGCATGTGTTAGAACCAAACACATACTCAGTCTGGGGCAGTGATTCTCAACTGGGGTGACTCTGTCCCCCGGGGCATTTGGCAAGGCCTGCGGACATTTTTTATTGTCATGACTGGGTGTGAGTGGGTAGAAAGTGGGGTGCTGCTAAACCCTATAGTACACAGGACAGCTCCCTACAACAAAGGGCTGGGACCCAGCCCAAAATGTCAACGGTGCCACTTCTGGAGGGACATGCTCTCAATTCAGATCTCATAGGGTTCCCACAGCTGAAGCGCCAAATACGATGAATTTACAAACCAAAATTATAAAACACACAAGGCAAGAACCCACATGAGCAAATACCAGCAGATACATGACTAGTAGGATTAGACTCCAAGGAACTTTAGGTTTATCAAAAATAATTAAAGACATGAAAGAAAGAATTAAAAGCACAAGAGGAAACAAGACATTATCAAAAAGATGAGGAGGATGTGAATAAGAAACAAAGCTTCTAGAAATGAACAAATACGGCCCACAGCTGGGACGGCAAGTGGGGGCGGTGACGCTGGGCTCCGTGCAGGCCCTGCGGGGGGGGGGGGCACCATCACCGCCTGTCGGGACTGCTGCAGCCGCCCCCAGCAGCTCTCCCCACTTCTCCCTCTGTCACTTGTTCCCAACACGCAGCCAGGGTGGCTTCTGAAGGCTGCCTGCCACCCCTCTGCTCAGAGCTCTCCGTTTCTGCTCTGAGAATAAAACCCCAGCAGGGCTGATGCAGTTG